TAATCATAACATGTACTAGAGGGATGATCTGGTGTTGTAAAATAATTTTTTTATATGTTGAACACCGAGTGAAGGATCAGTTGTGTAACATCAACGGTCTCTACTACTACTGTAATTGTCAGCACTACCGTAAAACGCCATATACAACTTGTATATCAATATGGCGTTTTACGGTAGTCGGAGAACAAATCTTTCAGTAAATTACAATTGGACAGTGATTTGATTATTATCACTGTTATCATTTTATGTAGTCACGAGCACTTAATTTATTTAAAGCAGTGCATTTTACTAAATCACACCACTAATGTTTAGCACAATGATTTCACCATTTAAATAATATCGGCATTTGGCTAATGTGTACCAGGTCTGTGGCGCAGACAAGTTCGTTTAATATTAGGGCTAAGGCCAGAATACATATACTAAAATTGCACATGGAAAACTTTTTGTTAAAGCACTAAAGTGGTTTCTTATAAGAATTTTTCGAGATATAAATGAAAAAATGTTATAGTAGCTTAAAAATTCTTTATATGCTCTAACTACTAACATTAGTTTAATATTTAACTAATTTTGTTTGGTTTATGGTTATTTTTTTGTGTTAAACACCAGTGGTGTGATTTAGTAAACCCGTTTCACCAAGTTTAGTTTATTAATGATATTTTTTTTTCCTTTCTTTCCTTTTTCTTTTTTTATCCGGCGACGTTTTTGACAATGTATTATAAAATCTATGCATAAAAACAAAAAAGGTATAATCAAAAACGGAAATATAAATCCGAATCAGTCCGAACGTGGAATGCCATGGTATACTATCGTACATACGTAAGTACACACGTACGAATGCAAAACAAAGCAATCGGAGTATACTACTTTATTTGAGTTTCACCAAATGAAAACCTGTGTATCTAAATATTGACAACAATAATGTGGGTTTTCAAAAAATTAGGTAACATCCTATCCGTTGGAAATTAACGGAAACGAAGTTTCCGCTTACTATATTTGCGGAATTAAGTACCTTTTTAATAATTTCGAATGTTAAAGATCAGAGTATAATCAGATATTAAATATGAACTTACACATAATTTAACTATTAACAAGAGTATTTCAATTACAGTACCCCCTGTTGTACCAGAGTATAGTTAAATGTTCATAATATCCCGGAGTTTTGTTCCGCAAAATACGGTATTCCCAACGGATCAGGATATTTTTATTACATATACGGTAGGTCAAAAAAAAAAGTTAAATTAATTATTCTGGTTTTTTATGTTATGTGACTAACAAATCGGACAAAAGTAAATTTCCATCTATTTATTCTACAAGGAATGTTTGAAAGCCCGCATTTTGTTGCACAAACACCGACACCCTCTATTTTGCATAATTGTGCACAGCTACATAAAAATACATGACCGTTAATAATGACAAAGATAAATTAATCAGTGCATCTCTGCAACTATAAATGTGGTTTGTCACAACTATGAACGCTAATTAAACTTTAGGTTCAAAAATATTATAAAAAAACAAGCTTTGCATTTATCGATTATTTTAATTCGTAAATCAAGTATGGATAACGGATCTCTCATTAAAGATTTTTCAAATTTGCTTGAAAGCTCTCAAGATTTTGATACAAAAATCACAGTTGGTGAAGAACCAAATATTAAAGAATTTAAGGCTCATTCTATTATCCTAACAACAAGATCAGCTTATTTTAAAACCGCATTGTCATCACAATGGGTAAAGAAAGAAAATGGAATCATCATTTTCAATAAACCTAATATTTCACCATCAGTGTTTGAGATTCTTATAAAGTAAGTTTATATTTTTAAATACGTCAATTCAATTGTCTATAAGCTAAAGTGATGTCTTGAGTCGTACCTCGTGCGAGATGATAAAACTATCGCGCCCACGATTTTTGCGAAATAAACTATCCGATTAAGAAAATCTTGTTAATGTTTTTACATATATTATAAAATACATTCTTATAACATGTACGAGCTCGTGTAATAGAGTCTCATATGAGATATGTGAAATGTATACTTGGTCTATCTCACGAGAAGTACATCTCTAGTGATATTTGTCCTTCCATATAAAAAAAAAATTTCATATTAATTTTCATGCCATTAACTTAAATTGTTTATTTTCTATAAAATAAGCTATATTTACACAGGAGAATTTTTAGATAACAATAATGTTGACCTTCTCGATATTTTTATTGCAACTGATGAGCTTCAATTAAATGAAATTAAACAAAAAGTTGAAAAACGCTTGCTTGAAACTGAATCAGCTTGGAAATTTCCTGAAGACTTCGTTAAAATATGTAAACATAATACTTTCACTGATTTATATCAAACTGCATTCGATCTTGTATGCAGAAAGCCTAAAGTTATTTTTGAATCAAAAGATTTTTCAAAAGTAGAGGAAGATGATCTAATTAAACTTTTGAAATCTGATAGACTTCAATTAGAAGAGTTTGAAATTTGGGAATATTTAATTAAATGGGGGATTGAAAATACCGAAACTATTTTAGATGATGATTTAACTAAATGGTCGCAAACTGATTTTATAGAACTTGAAAAAGTTTTGCATAACTGTATTCCTCATATTAGATTTTTTCAATTATCATTTGACGAATTTAACTTAGTTACAACTAAATATAAAAATATTTTACCTGATGATCTTATTGTAAAAAGTTTTCAAGAGTTGTCTGATTCTCAAACTAAACATAATTTACCAAAAAGAGAACTAGCATATTCTTTTGATTCTAAAATCATCGATGCTAAAGATGCTGCATTAATAGCAAGTTGGATTGATAAGAAACAAGGAGTGCCTTATCGTTTTAACGACATGCCATTCGAATTTAAGCTTATTTATCGAGCAAGTCGTCAAAATTTTAGTGTTTCTAATTTTCATAAGATTTGTGATTGTAAGGGACCAACTGTTGTTATAATTAAAGTCCGAAATTCAAATGAAATAATTGGTGGATATAATCCGTTAGATTGGAATGATATTGATGCTTATGATGATCATGAGTTCAAAAAAACATCAAAAAGTTTTATATTTTCACTATTTTCATCATCTAACGGAGCAATTCCCAGATTAAGCTTTGTCTCTTCTCAAAAAGAAGCAATCACCTGGTGTACATATAGAGGACCATGTTTTGGTTTCAAAGATTTATGGATAGAACATACTAGTTCACAAGGAGCCATTGGTATAAGTAAAAAATGCTCTTATGAAATAGGAATCATTGACAAAGAAACTTTTGGAATAGAAGAATATGAAGTATTCCAAATTATTCATAAGAGATCTAATAATATGATTGACTTTATTGAAAGATTTAAGATGAGAATACTTGCATTTATTAAGAAATCATCTAAAAGAACATTTAGATTTATCGTGGCAACATTAAAATTTATCAAGAATATATTTATAGTAATATTTAAACTTATTATAAATATATTTATAGCAATATTGATGTGTATCACATATGTGTTTTCGAAAATGTTTCGATTTCTAGCACATTATCTGGATTTATTTATCCAACGTTTGCGCAATTGTCTTTATACTATAGAATTACAGAATCCATACCGGGAAATTTAATTGTGCAATACTATTTATTGAAGGACGCAGTCACAAGATCTCAGACCTCTATTTTATTTGATCTGACGTGACTTATGTATTATATATGATATTATATAAAAGTTTTTTTCTTTATAATTTTTTCTCATTTGAGTGCATATTCGGAAGAATGTATAAATTTTTGATTTACAGTAATATATAGTTAGCAAAACACGTAGAATTTAGCCTTTCTAAGTATTTTCTTCCTATAGGTTAGGATTAGAGTGATTGTTGCCATAGTTTCTTTTCATGTTAAGGTTGTCACGAGTTATTCATAGCTTATTTTTCTTTTAATAAAAGAATTTTTTTTATGCAAACTGTATGTAATATCTTAATTTCTACGTGTCTGCACTAATTTTTAATGCCGGTGCTTTAATACTTTATATATTTCTATGTATATAATACAAATAAAAAGACAAATACAGCACCCGCTACCTACAAAACATTGAAGACAACACTCACTGGCTAACGTGCCCAATGAATTCAAGGTCCTTACAGACAGTGATTACCAGTACAATAGCAAAACACCTTGACAATAAAACCCGAAAACACAGACTAAATCTTGACATAATACTACTGGGTTTTCTGCCACACAACGTACCCAACTTGTGACCGCTTACAGGACTCATCCCCAACAACATATATGTTACTATCATAATTCCTAATACTTAATTATTCTACTTCACAAACTATCTAAAAACATTTACAAATACATATAGATACAGCAATGTAGAGCTGCACACCAAAATAATATACCCATAAACATTATAACCTCTGCACCGATATAAGAGGATAGGTTTCATGTCAAGGGCCACTAACATAGAGGTCCTTGTGTCATTATGTAGCTGCGGAGCTTTGAAAATATACATACATGTATATATTTAGGGTCCTTGCACTGTTACTACGGCCGCAAAGCCAATAAACAGAAACTCGGGTTCTTACACTATGATCATAGATAGCCTTGGGGCCCGACACAAATTGTATATTAATGGGCGGGTCAAACAAGCCAGCCTTTACAAGGCGAGCAATAGCAAAGAGAAAGATAAACTTTCTTAATTAAAAATCATCCACTTTAAATAACTCATACTAATCCTAAATCCTCTCATTAATCCGCCCTACTAGCAATCTTATGATTCCTTCTTACTTTCAATTATCATTTTATTAATACTCATAAAAAATCACAATAATCAATCTATTATATGAATTCACAACAACCAATTATATGCAATCATAACAATAAACCAAGAATTACTTGTGACTAACAAGATTTCCAATATGTATTTAAAAATAACTCAAAAAGGTTAATAATAAACCTGTGACCCATAAGTCATTTGAACTTGCAATAATGAATACTTTGTCACTTTGTTGACAAGCTTTACATTATTATAGCTCAATTAGATGACTTTATTGAAAAAAGATGAAAAACATAAAGAGGATTATTATTAGTGAATCTCATCCTTCTAAAGATCTGCAGCTTATCTGTTTCTACTAACCTGATATATAACATAACTGCCTTACTGTTCCAACCCCTTATAGTATAAATCTGTGTTAATAAAAGACTTGCCTTCATTGCTGCTATAGCATCACTTATCCTAATACTATCTGCTGTGAATCTTTTCAAATACCTGCATTATTAGCAATTCTTTTAACAATAATCCCAATAGCCTTTACTAATAACTGTTTTTTTGCTTTAATAAAAAGAGAGACTTATTATTTGAAGATTTAGAACTATTTGTTAAATACTTCTTTAACAGCCTAATTAGGCAATAATGACTATCTGAATATTCTATAGAAATAAACTTCACATTGGCAAATTAGTTTATTTTAGAATGACTAATGTGAATTTAACAAAGCTTCTTTTTAAACTTAATATCTTTAAGTTTTAGCTTATACAACTTATTAGAATGACACATAGTTCTTAATCCATTTTTCATCAAAGCAGCATCTCTTAACCAATATTTTCTACTGAAAATTCAATAAAGAATAATACACAAACCAGACACACATACAGCCAGGCAGTTAAGAACAGAAAAACTGCAAACACAGATTTAGAAAGTAATACAGACTATATGCAAATGTGAACAGAATAACTAAACCAAAACATAGATAAAAAAATAGTAGAATCCTTTAACCTTATACTATGTAATTACCAATTTATAACAGAAGTTTTTCAAGCAAAAGAGAAATTACAAGAACTTATTACATACAAATTCAAGACCAAACCTGCACAACAAATACTACTATATGCAATCGAATCCAAATTTAGACATACTGACCACACCTTCTTTACTACTTTCACAAGAGCTAAATGCTTTATATCCCAATACCAAATAGAATATGAAAATCTATTTATAAACATAATACAAAAATACAAAAAGGAAAATAAATTAACCATTATTGACAAACAAATAAGAGACAAGATACATTTCAAACTCTGCCAAAAATTGTATATCGACCACATCACTAAGACAAACTTCAATACATGTTCACAGAAACATATATATCAACTACTAACATACTATAAAGGCTTTACAAGAGATAAAAAAACAATAGATAAAGAAGACATACAAGAGGCAATTGCAGAGGCAACAAAAAGCAAACTACAAAAACTTCCTGACATACTAATAAGAATCTTAGATAAGATAAAAGTCATTCTACTATTCGAACTTCTGATAAAATCTAAGTTACAAATAAATGCTATAGTTATAGCATTACACAGAGAATTTGATTTCGAAAAGTTACCACCTACCTATTTCACTGAACTTCTACTACTTCTATATAATATAAATAATTTAGATTACATAATTAAGCACCTCTTCCCAATAATAGAGAAAAGAGAACTAGGAAGACTTCAATACTATAAAAAATATCTACAAGAAGTTTACAGCTTCGACAAAATCCCAGATCACTTTTTTAACCTATCTTCATTAATGTTAAAAAAACCAGCACTTTTATCTGCATATCAATATATAAAAGACCCAAAACTAAGGACATGCTTTTCAATAAACAAAGATAACCAAGATACAGAAATGCAAAATATTGTTACAAGACTTAGAGAATACTTTACCTTTCAAAACATTCCAAATAACTATTTTCTAGTTAAATCCAGTCTGCCAAAAAATCTAACCAGAATCAAAACTCAGAACACATATACCTATCTAATTACAGATGATACTGAAGCAGCAACCTTTATACATGAAGTTAAAAAAACATATAAAATTACACTATCCATTTCAGAAGTGATCATGACTGCTAATCTTACAAACAAGTCCAAATTACCTATTGACTCCAAGATGATTACAGAAGTCAATCTTACTATTCTAATAAATACATCCAAAAGAATAACTAAAACTGCATGCTTTCTCTAACCCTACTACTACTTTCAAATGCTGCCTACAGAATGAATACAAATACTAGAAACAAATAAAGAAACTATAGATAAAATAGATGCAAACAAAGAGACAAAGCCCCAAATATTTGATACTATTGCACAAATACAAGAAGATCTCAAAAATTGAAAAATAGATATAACCAACATTATACTATCAATAACAAGTCAAGATATTGCAACTCTAATACTAGCAAAACTTAGACAACATTATACAGTCAAAGCAATACCTAAACACATTCTAAAATTATCATCACTCTCTAAATCTGAATGAAAGATATTTTGCTTTTATCCAAACTAAATGCAGTACAACAAAAATAAGAATAAAACACTATTACCTAATATCATAGCAACTCCAAATTCATTAGAAAATACTGACCATGAGCTCTTGAACCCACTTCCTCCACAAATTAACAACAATTTAACAATAGTAACTCACAATGTACAAGACCTGAATGACAGACTCAAACTACAACTATGGCTTGAACACTACCAACAGCACCATATTATAAGTATTACAGAAACAAAATTAGCTGACTCAACCTATACAGAACTATTTATGAGCAATCTCTATTACTATGTTTACATCTTAAACTGCAATTGACAACAAGTAGTCAAAAGAAAAACAAGTCTTGGTACTGCAATTGCAATTGCCAAACCACTTAGATCCTACATTCACAACATTTTAACAGAACCAGAAACTGCTATTGCAATAGACTTCTTTTTTTCAAACAAAAACAAATTCAAATAATTTCCACCTGACTACCAACCACAAACTACACTCTTAATAAAATTACATAGCAAACAATAACACAATGGGTAAACCAAGCAACAGCTAAAGGCTATCATACAATTGTTCTTGGAGACTTCAACATTATCAGAAAACCTAAACAGTAAATAGTCTCAATTTTCAATACTCTAAAACTACATGGACTACTTAGCACATTTGACTACTTTAATGTTACAGTTCCCACATGGAGCTAGCAAGAAATAAATAGCCAAATAGATGACATCTGGGTCCCAACACAACTCATTCATAATATAACACCCCTTCAAATAATCTCTGCTAATGGAATAACAGATAGTGATCACCAAATCATGCAACTACAATGGGCATATAACTCTCAAATAAAAAACAACAGATAAAAACAAAGAAAAAGAGAAATCTTTAAATATGACCAAATGACACCAGATCTGTGAACAAAATTCTCGAGCTTAATAACAACCTATCTACAAGAAAATACAATTATACAAGAAATAAACAATACTAGCATATTAAACAAATAATGGCACAAGCTTCATCAAATAATTATTATAGCAGCCAAGAAGAACATACCTAGAATCAAGATCCAGCCTCAAACATTCTATACCTTCTCTACCAAAGCCACTAAACTTTATGCAGCTCTTAAGCACATCAACAAACTAATAAGACAAATGCAAGCAAATACACAAACTTCTAATGACACTCTAGTACAAACATACAATAAGAATATAGACTATATCAACAACAAAACAGAAATACAAATCAATTACATTACATCAGAGAACCTGACATCTACTAATAAGAAGACACTAATCACACAGCTAAAAGATCAGCAAAGACAATACACCAAGCTAGAAAACTAGAAAACAATCTTGCTCACCAAAGCACAATCAATAAATACATCAACAAAAAATATAATGACTTTAATAACAACACTACTTACATGATCAATAGCATATTAAAAAGACATACAGATCCAGTCCTTCTTCACAATATATGCAAAGCAGATAATGTTATCACAAAACCAAAATTAATATAAAAGAAGTACAAACATATTATAAGAACTGAACAAAGTTTAACCACCAAACTGGAACTACTGAAAAAAGTGAAAAGAAGAATACAAATCTATAAACAACATTCAAGACTGCTGGTACAAGAATATCTCTGAGCCAATTACTCTGAAAGAGCTAAATAAGACTATCAAAAAATTACCAACTTGTAAAGCAATGGACTACACTGCATCTCAAATAAGATGCTAAAACATTTGGGTAGCACTGGCCTAATGCAACTCTGCACAATATTAAATGCATGCCTAATACTAAACATAATTCCAAAAACATGGAAGCATAGCAACATCTATCCTATTTTCAAAAAACCTAAATTCACAGAACAACTAAATAATATATGACCTATAACTCTTATAGAACATATCTGAAAAATCTTGACAAAAATAATTACCAA